ATGCAAAAATTTCCTTCAGAAGATAGAAATTACAATTTTTGTGCTACTTGCAAAGGCTTAACTCCAATTGTAGAACGTCTCATAATGCCTAGATTGCCTTTTATGACAATCGGTCCGTTAGGATATCAAGGCAGGAGTTCTCTCAAAGGTACTGTTGTTAATATACCAATTTCTGTTAACAATATTGTGACATCTCTACCAAGGTCCTTTGATGAGGCACGAGTGATACAAATTCACTTAAGAAGGCGTTTGGAGTACAATCATGATTACATAATCGATACCATACGCCCCGCTAAGATTATGGAAGCTTTGGAATTCTTAGTGAATACCCCTCTGTATCGTGAGCACAATATACATATTAATTAGTACTGGATTTCGAAATTTAATAACCAAGAAGAAGTTCCGTTTATTGTATCTGCAGAGGATTCCCGATTGGTTCAATCTTTTCACGCGGCACAAACTTCTCATGATAATCCATCAGGTAATAATATTCCAATTAGTCTTTCACCTTCAGAGCTAAATCCAAGCGGTCAAGAAACTCTTTTGGACAATATTCCTGTAGAAAACTTGGACTATAACCATTCAGTTATGGCACCAGATGAAGGACAAAGACCAATTGACATAATTTAAGATAATAATTCCACAGAGTTGGCATTTGGAGCAGTATAAGTTGGGCAGAAACGTACATTCTCTGAAACATATAGCAAGATAATACGTTCTGAAATTCGCCGTTTTGACAGAAGAGCGTGTACCATTCCAAAGTTGTTCTATGATTACAAAAAATTAAAACTGCTACAAATTAAGAATAGTACATCCATTTGCCTTAGAAAGTTTTCAGGTCGCAACCGAGTTACGGCCAAAAATCTATTAAACGAAAACTATGTTCAAACCTTGATTCAACACGATGATGACAATTATATTTCTACAGATGATTCGGTCAGCCACTTAGAAAACTATTTGGGTTGTCAAGAGCATAAGCACAGTCGGTCTTGCACTAGGGAAATAAGAGGACAACAGTTTTGTCGGTTTGGTATACCATATCCACCAATGCCCCCAACGCAAATAATGTTACCTCTTACAGAAACAAGTCAAAATTCATAAAGACACAATAAAACTTTTTCAAAATTCAAAACGTTTTAAATTCAAAAATGACTACAGAAGACATTTCTCATTTAAGAGATTTTGAACATTTCCTGTGTGATAGTAGAATAAATATGCCTTTTATGACTATTGGTTCGTTAGTTAATCAAAACCCAAAATAATCCTCTGATTTTCGAACTCCATAGATCGAATATGGATATCCAATACATACTGATATTAACAAGTCTAGCAGGGGAATTTCTACGTTCTTAATGGCTTTAATTTTTGGAAGCTGAAAATTATACTGTTAAGAAAAAACTTAAATACATAGGTCACAAATTTATATCAGGCGCAGAAATATCTGCACAAGAAGCTGAATATTGCTGAATTGGGCTCCATCTTTAGGAAGCGAGTAATGCAGAAATATTTATAAATACCTCTCGACCTGAGGAACGTGTTCGAATAGTATAACCGGAACTTCAGAACCTTCCTTCGACTGAAATATTCGTAGCCGATATTTTATACCTTTGTGTTTAAAAATACGATCACTTAGAAACACTTTGTTTAGCTGATTTTGTATATACAATATGTATAAATATTTTAAATCTAGTAGAAGAGCACAATATAGTGATCATGATGGTAGGCGCTCGTACGTTTAGCTCTGTTGATGCGAGAATAAAACAAATTTTCAAAACAGACAGCCCCTTCGGTGATATACCGATCATAGTGTTTGGTGATTTGAAGCAACTCGCACCTATTGGAGATATGTGGATATTCTCCTTGCAATTGCATTAAACCATATAGCATCTGGTACTATGAAAAATTAGGACATATCACTCATTGAAACTGGAGTAGTTAAATTTGAGGAAGTAGCCGATGGTACCATACATTTATTTTGGTCCAATGAAGTGGCAAATAATTTCAATGCCCTTAAGCTCAGTCGAATCCTGAATCCTGAAAACTGAAACTATCCTTTCAACTGCAAAAGGCTCAGTTAATGTAATTGGTATAATGATGAGAATATTTTCAAAAGAGTTAAACTTCTGAAACGCAGGGACTGCCTTATGAATTGACATTTAAAACCTCTGCCAAATATATGATTACAGTGCATATAAACACGTGTGATAGCTTGGTTAATGTGGACGCTAGATAACTTATGCAAATTGATTTCCATTTTTCTTTTCCAGAAATTCTGTGGATTAAATGTTTGGAACCTTCAGTTGGTTTGATAGCACGATCAAAAAAGTCTCATCCTCTAGAAGGTTCTTGGACACCAATTGAAAAAGTTCTAAAATCTTTTCAATATAAAAGAAATGAACAAATTTCAATTGAAAGAAATCAGTTTCCAGTTGTTTCGGCTAAGGGAATAACTATTCATAAAAGTCAGGGTGCCACATATAATAAAGTTGTAGTTCATACTCGACCCAGAATGCCTAGAGCTTCAATATATTATATGTCGCTTGCAGGCAAGACACTATTGTATTAATTTTATTCCTCCTAAAAATTTTCTGAATCGGAGCAAGTTACAATTTTATATTTTCCCTAACATCAGGACATTTAATTTTATTCCATAATGTTCAGAGTCTTCACGCTCACATTAATGATATTAAAAGCGACTGTTTGATGCTGTATTCAGATATTTTATGTTTTGTAGATATTAGAGTTATTTTCTCCAATTAACGAGCTGAGGATAGATATCACAGAAAAAAGCAATAGAAATAAACGAATATTGAAAATTGAATATTGAACTACACCTGACGCCACACAAAGTGATTGGACATTTTCAAACATAGATCCTTCCCATTTTAATTAAATTACTTTTGAGACAGTACATAGCCATCATGACAGTATTTATGTCTCTATTTCGACCTAAAGTTTTCAGACTTATTGCAATAGTTCTTCATTTTTTTTCAAACATATATTAAGAAATAGTATAGCAATTTTGATAGTAGTTTTTAAGATAATTTAAAAAAAAAAAATGTGTAAATAATCTAGGTAAGAAAATTTAAATTATATGTATAATTTGTTATTATATAAGACATTATTTTGTAAATATATAATAGAAATTAAATAGTATACGGAGATAAGAAATATAATTTGGATATTAGTATAATAATCTTTATAAAAATTTATGTTTATTATTGTAAATATTATATACAAATTAATATAATAATATAATTTTGAAGGTTGTTAATGTTTATTATTTCTAAGCTAATCATGTATAATAATATCGATATAATAAATAAAAATTTTTATTCAACGAACTTTTCATACTCCTCAATACAGTTGTAATGCATTCTAATATATAAAGTCAATTATAAGCGGATTTTTCATAATTTGAGTAAATTTAGTTTAAACATTTTTCTAATTGATTTCACTGTGAATGTAAATAACTGGGGCAACAATTTCTGCTTCTAATTATTAAAATATATAAAGAAATCAAAAACGAGTATACCAATTGACTTTGCGAGAGTATAAAAGGTTCGGTTACATCCGAACTAAGCCTTCCCTTACTTGTCTTTTTTTATTTTATCATCTGGCTGCACTGTCCTCCTGAACAATTAAAGTAGCTCTCTCATGCGTCTATAATTTTACCCAAATTGAAAATACATACAATCACAATATTATTTATGATAGTAGTCATAAGTTTTGGCTCATAATCAGGGGTGGGTAAAACCTTAACATGTGCTAAAAGAGCGTAAGTGATCGTATACGTATATACACGGATTGTCACACAGAAATGAAGAGCGTAAAACCAGCACTTATGCTCTGAACACAAAGACGACGGCACGACAGTGAAATTTTCTGGTCGGCAATGTCGTCTTGAAGGCAGCTTCTTAAACATTTTGACGACGGCAACGACATATCAAACAGCTGATATACACAATTTCTTTGTTGCCGTACTAAAACCTTTCATTTCAATGAAAGTTAAATCTTTTCTTCAAAGTAAAATTTGTTGTACAAAAATATATGTAAATAGGTCGATTTATTGTTAAAAATTATCAATTGTTGTTACAAATAATATATCAGCGCTATTTTATGCTTCTGTTGATAAAATAACATTAGATTTGTTAAAGCTTTGAATAATTTTACATTTCACATATTAGTGGCAACAATACAGCTGCCCATTGTCGTCGGCACAATTAGAACATTTTAGAACAAATTTAGCGACAGCGACAATTGCAAGCCTGCTTCCTGAAGTCGTGCTGCTGTCTAAATAACTGTGCCCATAAGAACATGTGTATTTTTTAATTTTTAACAGATGCTGCTTTTGGCTTGTCGTCGACTATGTGTTTAGCACTTTACGATAGGACAAAACGACGATAAAGTCAGTAGTTGACTGAAAAGTTTAGTGCGGAGGGAGATCCATGATTTACGTATGAAATTAAACTAATCCTTACTTTACCTAATAGTCACTTTTTTAAATGCCAAAATGTCGATCTATAATTTAATTGCCATTCAACATGAAATAATATTAATTTTGATATATACATACGCACGTGCACATGTTCAGTCCAGCATAGACCCGCTCATAACGAATAAATAAAAGTAAGTATTTTAAGTTGATCTCTTAGCAAAATCGCATTGAGTAAAGAGACTTCCACACAATCACTCAGTGACTCATTATTTTCAAGTAGATGTTTGGCTTAACTATTTCAATTTACGGCAGCAATTCTTAGTTTCATTGCGAGTGACGGACGGTAAGGAAGTCTTTGCGGATAGTAAAGTGTTAAAATTTAGTGTGCATCGAGGAAAATTCTTAAATCAACACGTTTTATTGCTTTTAGCCAATAATTATGAGGGTATTTAAGAAAGAAAATGTATGAAAACTAAACATTATGAGTAATTACAGATAAAAATGTGTTAACCAATAAAATATTATCATTGCGATTGTTATGGTAATCACTGCTTAATTTATAAATTAATAATTGAACAGAAAAGTGTGTTCTATATATTTATATATATTTTTATTAAGTGGAATAAGAAAACATTAGTCAGTACTACAATAATTTTGAAATCTTGCTTCGTATTTGACTCTTTAAAATAGATTCTTAGCTGCTTATTTACTAGTAGTTGAAACCGTACCGCATTTAGGTTATATAATTTGAAGCGTTTCTCGTTTACATCAATTGAGACATTAGCTCACACTTGCAGTCATAGATATACTAGCATATTAAAATTAAAACAAAATTCCTAATGAAAAATTCCAGAAAAAAAAAACGTTATGTACTTAAGTCTCCCAATTGAGAAGGTTAAAAGCAGCAGCAGCTTAATGCTTTCTTAATTACAGCGTCTTTTAAAAATTATGTAAACGAGTTTAATGGTTTCATCAAATTGTAAATGACTTAAATGTTATATCACCTTTAAGATTTTTAGAGGTAAATCATATGAAATGACAGATTAATATAAAACAACAAATATAGTAATTTCGACTAAGCTTCGAAAAACAAAAGACTTAAGGCACAAACCTGATGGATACGGGTTAACTTGGATTGGGTTTGCATATTAAAATTTGGAATCCAGACGGATAAATATGGCAGAGATAATGGACCAAGAATTTTACTATTTCATATGCTTATATATACTATATATGAGTGCTGAGCATAATATCATTTTGCAGTGCAAACAGATGTTTAATAAAATAAGCAAAGGAAAAAATTATGTTTGGTTTATTAATGCAGTACATAAAATTACGTTTGGAATTTTAGTTAAATATGTCGAATAAATATACTAGTATATGTAGGTATGTTCTCTGTAAAATTTTGAGAAATACTCAAGTGTAGCTCCAGTATTTACTAAAGTAGGTAATTGTTACCGTCCAAATCCACAATTTAACTTCTTTGGTTTATGAGTCATTTCATAGGCTGTACTTTGAAGGGGCCCAGATGCCTCGCCAACATTATTTGTCATGGAGCAACAATAATTTCTAAATTTTTCCATAATAATTAAATATGTCTTAACTGGTGTTTCTGCTTCTTAAGGCGGAAATCGTAACTCAATAGTTTAATTTCATTCAATCATTTTTACAGCACTCCTTAAAAGACTTCGATTTGTTTTAAAGACTTGTTTAGATAAGAAATTGAGGAGCACAACAATAAACAAACAAAACATATATTACATCAATCACACCTCGTAGTATACAATTGTAAAATCCTTCACTATTCATTCTTCCTTACGCGGAGAGTATTAAAAACGTATGGGCCTGTATTGGTGAGCATTTAGTTAAATATTGTATAAAATCTAATTAATATTAATTTTGATTTTTAATTATCGTGAAATAATTATTTTTAAAGGTGAATTATTTGATAAAATATTATATTAACAGAGTATATAAAATTGTTACCACCTTTTCATTATTTCATCGTGAATCTTTATTACAGTGATTCAAAAAACTTGCCAATTGTAATAACACATGTTAAGGGAAAATGTAATTACAGTTACTGAAAACTTGCCGAGTTGTGAAGCTATTTTAATACATAAAAAATATCGGATATACAAGTTTGGCTCTGTTCAAAAGTTGAAAAAGGACAATGCTTTATTACAAAAGCGACACTTAATCAAAAATACATATATTGAATAATAACGAATCAAGTATAAGTAATAAATTAAGTTAATCAAACCTAAAATAAAATGTATTACTTATAATAATGCCGTACTTTCAACACTTTTTATAATTGTAGTAACTCCTCAAAATCTTACGCCAACAATATTCATAGCGATTCGAACATAACCTCGTACATACGGTTTTTTTTGTAATTGTGTGGATAAGCTAAAATTAATAACGAAGCAGTACAATTGGATGATAAAATAAAAATATTAATGCAACTAGCACTTTGGTTGACTCGGAGAGATAACAAATACAAAATGTGTGAGATGCTAAGAAGTACTTACTTTATATTACTTTTTGCTGTTTTGGCTAAAAGCAAAGATAATTTACGTGTCGCCTTCGAGTGGAAGGAGATGGACTTTAAATATGAGAATGCTGAGGCACGTTGGACGGCCATTGAAAATCACGAATTTCGACCAGACAACGTAATACCTTTTGGGTTGGAAGTATATAGGTCACGAATGTATGTTGCTTTGCCTCGATGGCGAGACGGTGTACCAGCATCATTGGCTTATTTTGATATCAATGGTAAGTCAGATAAAAAATACAGGTTGAAGATGTTATATTATATATGGTAACAAGATCGGAATTGAAGTTGCGGCTGGATTACTACTTCTGTGCCACTTGGTTAAAATATCATTTGTTGTAACCCTTGTTCATTTTGGCGGTCGGATAGCATGGTTACCATACTTGGTCTAGAGTCCAATCGTCTTACAAATGAGTTTGGTAGCATTCTTTTACTATTAGATCTATTAAGGTGAAATTTCGTAGTTTACAAATTATTTGACTAAATGAATCTAAATGTTCCCATATCGATCTTTTTTTACAGTTAAGCATTTTTAATGAAGATATCAAATAAACTTATATATATTATATACCGGTTAGAATTCGGAGATTTTAATAATCTTGTTGAAGAATTCTTGTTGTTACTGATGTGATTTGTTTCCATATCAGTTGAAATATTTTTGCCTCTTTAAGATAAATATGCTAACTTAAGAATTTTTTATTTTGAGAATTAAGCAAGATATTCTAATGAAACTAAGGGCCATGTGCTTAATATGAGACGTATTTTTAATTCAAAGGGCGTATGGAATCAAATTAGTTTTGTATTTCAAGAGTTAAACTTGAAATAAGTTCAGTCAATAATATTATTAAAATTTTCAATATTTTGACATATGGCAAAATTTTCTAAAATTTTTGATAGTAACGTATACAAGTCGGATAATTCAACCGTTTTTGTATTTGACCAAATTCATATATTTTATTAAGATTAAAAATTGGTAGATGCTACATCTCTATCGATTACATGACATGTGTAATTATATTGGTAATAAGCGAAAAATTTCTCAAATGTTCAGGGATACATGCTGTTCGATGTAGGATTTCAGTGACATTTGACAGAATTATTATGATAGAATTAGCTATAAAGAGTTTTTATATGAACTAGAGTTTTTGAAAATGCGGTTTGATATTGTAAATACCAAAATATTCAATTAATAAGCTGAAATGATCGGTACAAGCAGCACCGACTCAGCTACAGCCATATACAATTTTTACAATCATATATCTTTACAAACAAAGCTGTATATATATTCTGTAATGTCTTAGTAATTTGCCGACATTTGTAACTTAATTTAGATATTTTGTATTTTTAAGAGCATGAATATACAACAGGTTCTTCAAAAGCGACAGCCAAATCTTACCGTAACGTAATCCTACAATAAAAACGCAAATATATTTAAATTGATTCACTTTATTCAAAGTGATAAAAGAAAATACTCTTTCTAACTTGTTTGTTGCGAAAACAACATCTGGGTAATGTATGTACGAGTATAGGAGCCTACATACATATTTTCGCATTTAGAATGTTTAGAATTCAAAGAAACCAGTTTAACGTTGATATTTGCTTTTGTATTGTATTCAAGGTAAAATTTTTATTTTGAAATTTAATGAAGCAGAATATAGGGTTGTCTTTCCTAGCTTCGAAATTTGATCCAGTAGTGTCTAAACTAATGTTATGGGAATTGTTTCCTATTAACATATCTGATAATTTGTAATTACTTTGTATATAAAAGTATATATACTTATTTATATTATTCTTAATGTGAAAAGCTCCGGAAAAAGAGAAAGATATTTTAGTGGTTGATTATTGTCAAATATTATACTCGTATATGGTATTAAGAGGTCTGTCAAGCTAGTAATTTAAATGTTTCCTCGTCTAGGTATATAGTGTTTGCAGAACGAGATTTCGATGGTCCGATCTAAGTTCTAAATTCTTTCCAATTTGTGGATGTCTGTTATTTATATTACTTGCTAGTCGCTTGTTTAGCTTAATCAATTAAAATTAAAATTACTAAAATCAAAAATGTATATTAAAGTCTAGTAATTTCTTCACTAATAACTATGTTAAAATTTCAGAAAAATCTACAAAATCACCATTACTCATTCCTTTTCCTAGTTGGGAGGCACATAATATTGCCAACTCGGATCCAGAGCTTATTTCTCCCTTTCGAATTCGAGCTGATCGCTGTGGTCGACTATGGGTACTAGACTCACGTATTGCAGGCGTTTTAGAGAATACAACTATATTTGGACCTGCTCAGTTATTAGTTTATGATTTGCATAGTGATAATCTTTTACGTCGCTACAAATTTCCTAACAGTCAGATGAAACAAGGTTCCTTCTTCGCAAATTTAGCGGTGGATGACTCTAATTGCAAAAATTCTTTTGCCTATGCTGCTGATTTAGGTGCTCCTGGTCTAATAGTTTATTCATGGGCACAAGATGATTCATGGCGAGTACTGCATAATTTCTTCCATCCTGATCCATTAGCTGGAAATTACAGTATAGATGGTATAGAATTTCAATGGGATGATGGATTGTATGGTTTGGCCCTATCTAAACCACAGGAAGACGGTTTCGCTATACTATACTTTCATCCCCTCAGCTCTATAACTGAGTTTTCAGTTAGTACAAGTGTTCTTAGAAATAAAACCTTTGCTAGTTCTGGTGAAATCTACCATAACTTCAAAATATTGGGAGCGCGTGGTTCAAACGGACAAGCAGGCGCAGCATTTATAGACCCACGTACCGAAGTTTTGTTTTATACGTTACCAAATCTAAATGCTCTGGACTGTTGGAGTACAACTAATACGGATTATTCGACCAATACTCAGGGACGTGTTTACACGAGTGCGCAAGAACTCGTATTTCCCAGCGAAGTGATGATCGATACGGAAGATAGGTTATGGGTACTTTCGAATAAATTACAAGAATTTATTTATGATGAGATCTATCCTGGGAGAGTAAATTACCGTGTTTTGACAGCGAATGTAGTGGATGCAATCGCAAATACTGTATGTGATACCAAGGTGAAACCACTGCCAGAAATAGTTAAACCGGAATTAGATACTATACTTGACGCGGTGATAAATTCTACGAAAGAGGTATCTGCTTCAGGTGTGGAGACAAAAAGTTTAACCGTAATCATCGTGTTTTTTGGGATTAGTATAATTTTTTACATAATCTAAATAGTTTAAGTTCAACTAATGTTATTTTGTATGTAGTAATATAAAACTAAATACTTATTGTAGAAGAATTTCATGTTCATTAAATGTCTACCAATATAAATTATAACGACAATATCATTTAAGCTCGATGTTTGTCTGAAATTGTTTTCCTGATATCCTTTTTAATGTCATAAAATATCTGCAAATGAATTGAGTACTTAAAATGTTGAAAGTAAATTGTAAATTGGAACCACTTATATTTTGGTAACATTATTATTATTGGAAATGGTGCGCTTATTGGAAAGTTTTAATACCGTAGACACCAAAAAGATTAAAGTATATTTTTAAATTTGTACTTATGTATATATGTATATTTATGGCCACTCAATTTGTCTTGAATCAATTTAATGTATTCATATTGTTCTAAAATTAACCATACTTCATGCAAAATATTTGGGCCATTGAAACCTTAGATGAATGATTAGGAGAAAGGAACTTCTCTAAAAGCGTTGTACAATATACCATACTAAATTTTGGAAAAATATCGCGCCAAATAAAGTGGCGAAGTGACGAGCTGAGTTGATTTAGCCATGTCCGTCTGTCTGTATATATACAAATTAGTCCCTCAGTTTTCAAGCTATCGATCTGGAATTTTGCACCTGTCCTTCTTCCACCAAGAATCTGCTCATTTGTCGGAACGCCGATATCGGACCACTATACCATATAGCTGCCATACAAACTGAACAATCGGAATCAAGTGCTTGTATGAAATACTCTTTCATCTGACAATATATCTTCACGAAATTTGGCATGAGTTATTTTCTAAGGCAGCAAAGAAATGAATCAGATCGGATGGCTATAGCATATAGCTGCCATACAAACTGAACAATCGGAATCAAGTGCTTGTATGGAAAAGTCTTTCATTTGACGAGGTATATTCACGAAATTTGGCATGGATTATTACTTAAGACATTAATCCAATCGCCGAAGAAATTGTATAGGTCGAATGACTATAGCGTATAGCTGCCATGTTAACTAAACGATCGGAGTAAAGTGCTTGCATGGAAAATGCTTTTATTTAACGAGTTATCTTAAATTAGGCGCGAGGCAACAAAGTATTCTCGTAGAAATTGTTCAGATCAGATCACTATATCATAAAGCTGCCATACAAATTGAACGATCGGAATCAACTTTGGTATTTGTGAAGGGTATTATAGCTTCGGTGCAACCGAAGTTAACGTTTTTTCTTGTTTGATATTGTCTTTGTGTCTACCGAAGAAGCTTCCACTTTATGTGTTTGTGGTTGTGGTTGTGATTTGTGAAATTTAGGCTGGAAGGGTTCACTTTTTTTAAGGTTGTGTAGCAACATAAAACTCAGAATACATAGAATGAAAAAGCAAAATCTCTAGTTCATGACTTTTATTAAAGAGGCAGGGAAATGAAAGTTACTTCGACAACAAATTCAGTGCTTCAAGCCTGTACCTACAACATTTTTACGTATTTTAATATGAACATTTATATTTGCCTTCAAGATAGGATCCTTTTGAGTAAATACAAGTATACCAATGTTTGATTTTAATTTTAATTTTAATCCTCGGTTGGGATAGTTTTCAGTGCCTTTAGTAAATTTTGTTTTCGGCTCATTTTTGGAGCGCCATTCGCTAGATTGTTGTGTAGTTTCGATGTCACCAGTAATGATGCGTTTGATGAATGTAGGGTACTCAACTACTCAATCATCTCTTTTGCGAGCTATTTATACTCGACGTCCTTTTTGCAAAAGATTCAGGTATGGTATGGTAAAAAGTTCGTTCGGTTCTTAAATGTCGTTATTGTCCATAGTACTAGCTAAAAGTTTGTCTTTGACAGTTTTTCGATTGATTGACTCAGTACGTTGTGAGCTCTCGTCAAAGATGGACACCAGCAAAGAGAAAATTCGCTATATTTTACAATTTTTCTTTCGATCAAGGCGAAAAAGCAGCCAAAGCGGCTAAAAAAATTAATTTAGTTTATGACCCCGATACTGTAAACGAACGTGTAGCACAAAAGTGGTTTGCTAGGTTCCGTTCCGGTAATTTCGATGTCAAAGATGCACCACTCGTCGGGAGGCCTGTCGTCGAAAATTGTGATAAAATCATGAAAATAGTGGAAACAGACCGTCACGTGAGCACTTATTTAATTGCTGAGGAACTAAAGATAAGTCAGAAAATCGTTTGGAATCATTTGCATAACCTTGGATTCAAAAAGAAGCTCGATGTTTGGGTGTCACACGAACTAACGAAAAAAAACATGATGGACCGAATTGCCATCTGCGAATCGCTGCTGAATCGCAACTAAATCGACCCGTTTCTGAAGCGGATTGTGACTGGCGATGAAAAGTGGGTCACTTACGACAACATCGCGCGCAAACGTTCGTGGTCAAAGCTCGGGGAAGTGGCCCAGACGGTGGCCAAGACCAGATTGAATGCCAGGAAGGTTTTGCTGTGTGTTTGGTGGGATTGGAAAGGAATCATTCACAACGAGCTGCTCCCAAACGCTCAATTCGGTCCTCTACTGCCAACAACTGACCGCTTGAAGGCAGCACTCATCCAGAAGAGGCCATCTTTGATCAACAGAGGCCGAGAGAGAAATTGTGTTCCATCAGGACAACGCCAGGCCACACACGTCTTTAGTGACGCGCCAGAAGCTCCGGGAGCTCGGATGGGAGGTCCTAATGTACCCACCTTATAGTCTGGACCTGGCGCCAAGTGATTACCATCTTTTCCTGTCCATGGCGAACGCGCTTAATGGTGAGAAGTTGGCCCCAAGAGAGGCCTTTGAAAATTGGCGCTCAAAACGGCACACAAAACAACGGAACACAAAGTTATCATCTTTTGAAAAATCAATAAAAAACCGAACGAACTTTTTACTTGACGATATAGCATTGCACAAAACATTAACCAAAATCTGTTGAGTCGATCCATAAGAGATGACCAGATCCTCTGTTATCTCTATGATGCTAACACGATGTTTATTAAGCACTGTTTTTATACCCTGAACAGGGTATATTAAGTTTGCCACGAAGTTTTTAACACCCAGGAGGAAACGTCGGAGACCCTATAAAATATATATATAAATGATCAGCATATTGAGCTGAGTTGATTTAGCCATGTCCGTCTGTCCTTCCGTACGTCCGTCCGTCTGTACATATGCAAACTAGTCCCTCAGTTTTTAAGGTATTGATCTGAAATTTCGCACCTGCCCCTTTCTCACCAAGAAGCTGCTCATTTGTAGGAACGGCGAATATCGGACCACTATAGCATATAGCTGCCATACAAACTCAACAATCGGAAGCAAGTCCTTGTATGTGAAACCTTTTTTATTTGACGAGTTATCTTCACGAAAATAATACAAGTATTTAAGGCAACAATGGAATCTTCGAAGAAATTTGGTATGAGTTATTTTCTAAGGTAACAATATAATGACTATAGCATATAACTGCCATACAAACTGAACGATCGGAATCAAGTGCTTGTATGGAAAACTCTTTCATTTGACGAGTTATCTTCACGAAAATAATACAAGTATTTAAGGCAACAATGGAATCTTCGAAGAAATTGTATTGATCGGATGACTGTAGCATATAGCTGCTATACAAACTGAACGATCGGAGTAAAGTGCTTGCATGAAAAACTTTTTCATTTGACGAGGTATCTTGACGAAATTTGGTATGAGTTATTTTCTAAGGCAAGAATATAATCGCCGAATTTAGATCGGATCGCTATGTAATACAGCTATCATATAAACTGAAAGATCGGAGTAAAGTGCCTGCTTGGAAAAAAATTTTATTTTTTATTGTCGATTTAAGGTCTAAATCAAGTTATGGTAAGGAACCTTTGTACCTGTGAAGGGTATTATAGGTTCGGTGCAACCGAAGTTAACGTTTTTTCTTGTTTTTTAATTTTTCGATGGTATCGTCTTCACCAGAGATAGATGGACAACTCGCATCAAGCAAATTTTTGATGAATTGACGACTTTCACTGAATGAATACTTGTATTTGTCATAAAGTAGACTCTTTAAAAACACTTTTACAACATTTTTAAAATTGTACCAATCTTAGGTAAACATGTAAGGAAGGGCCTGGGAAGTTCGGGTGTAACCGACCAACGCTTGCAACTTGCAAGAAACAAAACGGGAAAATACTTTCAAGACTTTATGGTGGTGGCTCACGAAACGTGCTACAAAAACAAACCGTAATAACTTTTTTTTCAATCAATAGATTACATTTTTTTTTTATTGTATAGAAAATTTTGTTTTATTTTATATAATTAATTCCTTTTAAAAATGGACCGTAAATGACCTTCATGCTCAGCTACGTATATGCGACACCTAATTAGAAAATTATTAATTACGACTTGAATTATTGACTTTGGTCAATAATCGATCTTAAACTTAAAATAATCGACTTTTTAGAATCGAGTTTGAATGCTTCAAGTCGATTAAAATCGATTCTCACTCGATGACTTCGACTTTTCTGTCAACAGTTGTAACATTCGATTGTAGTACAGTTTGTGTCGTTTTCATGTACCGACTCTTTTATATAAAATCGAAAGTCGACTTCTCGCGCGCTGTTACCATCCCTAGCCTGAGCGCCACATCAACCTTAAACATTCGAATATAAGCCACGTCAACTTCTTTTTTTCCGAGTACGACTTTCAACGATCCTTTTCCGGATTCACCTTGGATTGGATTGGATAAAATTAAATTTGATTCGGTTAATTTGATTAGTGAATCTAAATGGTTAACTAAATAAAAAGAAAAGAGTGTACACAACAATCACAAGCGCATTTTCCTTCAAGTTGTTCGTAGTGTTAATTCATAAAAGCTCACCAAAGGCGGTTAGTGTTCCCCAATATATTAGATACAAATTTGTTCAGATAGTGCAGCGGCACCATGCTTTGCAGTCCGTCAGTAGATGGACTATTATAAGGTTGGTAAACATGTTTGCCGAATCTGGAAGTATGGCAATAAGACCGTACCATCGGCAAATCCAAGAGTTTCGACTCGCAATTTATCGGCGCAACTTGGAGACAGTCTTTACAACGGATAATTCATGATGACTTAAACATGTTTCCGCACAAAATTCAAATAGGTTGGTTAAATCATCTTGATTTGCCTATTCGCCCGGAATTTTGCCAAAAAAATTATTGAAATGGCCGAGAGAGACAATGTCTTGATAAATTGCCTATTTATGTCTGATGCCCATTTTGACCTAAACAGAAATGTATGCAAGCAAAATTGCCGTATGTGGAGTGAATCAAATTCAGGAATATCCCACGAGACGGAACTTCACCCAGAGTCACTGTTTGGTGCACAGT